ACAATAACCACCTTAGCCCTCAGTGGATAGAGAATCCTGCATGGATAGCTGGTGTCAGAGCTAAATAAGGAAAGGAATATATGATGTTTATTCCCACATAACGCAGTTGGCATATGAAATTAGATTTCCTATTTTCTTTGGAATAAGTAGGAAGAATCTGAAGGGCCATCAAACTCAAAATAATGCCTCCCAAGGTGGAGGGAGGCTGGGAGCAGAGGGATGACAATGGGCAGGGGGATGGGGGCAGTAATCATAGGATCACACACAATTTGATAGGTTGTTGTTGTTGTTGTTGTTGTTATGTGCCATCGAGTCGCTTGCGACTCATAGCGACCCTATGTACAACAGCCCTAAACTCTGCTCTGTCCTGTGCCAATCACACTGTCTCTGACACTCCCATCCCGATTATCCCAGTCACTGAATCAATCCACCTCATAGAGGGCCTTCCCGTCCTGCGCTGTCCCTCCACCCTCCCAAGCATGATGTCCCTCTCCAAGGACCGGTCCCTCCTTACAACATGTCCAAAGTATGTCAGATGAAGCCTCAGAATCATTGCCTCCAAGGAGCAGCCTGGTTTAACCCTCTCCAGGATGAATCTGCTTGTTTTCTTGGCAGTCCAGGGTACATTCAATACTCTTCTCCAGCACCACAGCTCAAAGGTATCAATTCTCCTTCTATCCTCCTTAGTCATTGTCCAGCTCTCTGATGCATAACAAGTGATTGCAAAGACCATAGCTTGTATCAGATACACCTTAGTCTCCAGAGTGACACCACTGCTCTTCAGTACCCTGGAGAGGTCCCTAACAGCAGACTTTCCCATCGCAATACGTTTTTTGATTTCCTGGATACTGGTGCCAAGAGTGTTGACTGTGGAGCCAAGCAGATTAAAGTTGTTAACGAACAGTATATACAAACTTGGTAAATAAATCAGTATAAAATAATTTTTTAAAAATGATGCCTCGACTACTGTATAACATACTTGGTGACATGATGTCTATACACACAATTTATGTAAACAGTAGGAATTCAACATTGTTAGGTATCATCAAGTTGAGTAGGACTCATAGCAACCCCATGAAAAAAACGGAACCTTGTCCTCTCCTGTCCCATCCTCACAATCTCCGACACATTTGAGCTAACTACTATTGTCACTGTGTCAATCCACTTCAGGGTTCTCTTCGCTTTTGCTGACCCTCCACCTTTCCAAGCATGATGCCCCTCTCCAAGCAACATACCTAAAGCATGTGAGATGAAGCTTCATCATCTTTGCCTCCAGGGGCACTCTGCTTGTACTTTCCCGAAGACATACCTGTTCTTTTGGCAATCTATGGGACATTCCATACTCTTCTCCAACACCACAGCTCAAAGGCATCAATTCTTCTGCTGTCATCCTTATTCAGTGTCCAAGCAACTGAAAAGACTATGGCCTGAATTAGGCATACCTTAGTTCTCAGACTAGTATCATTGCTCCTCAAGAGTTTGGAGAGATCCTGGACTGCAGACTTTCCCAGTGCAATACATCTCCTTATCTCCCGACTGCTGGTACCAAGGCTGTTGATTGTGGATCCAAGTAAGATGATGTTGTTGACAGTTTCAATCTTTTCTCCGTCTATCATTATGTTGTCTATTAGTCCAGTGGTGAAATTTTTTTTTTCTTGACATTGAGATGCAATCCGTAACAAAGGCTATAGTCTTTGATCTTCTCCAGTTAGGTCCTCCTCACTTTCAGCAAGGTTGTGTCATCTGCATACCAGTTATTAACAAGTTCCTCCAATCTTAATGTGATACTCTTCTTCATAACATCCAGCTTCTCAAATAATTTTCTCAGTATACTAATGGAATAGGCCTGGAGAAAGGATACAACCCTGATGTATACCTTTCCTAGTTTTAAGAACCATGGGAATTGGGTCATGTTCCCTTGCTCTGTTCGCTCAAGAGCCCCTTAGTCTAGGTATAGGGTTCACATGAGCACAATGAAGTGTTCTGCGATTCCCATTCTTCTCAATGTTAGTCGTAATTTGTTATGACGCACACATTTAAATGCTTCTGCATAATCAATAAAACACAGATGGACTCCCCCCCCCAGCTGCTTCATTTCAGCTTCAGTGTCCTCCTTTATTGCCATTGGCTCCTGATCATACAGTACTTGCTGAAATATTTCAGTGTTGGACAATTTTTTTAGTACAGTGATACTGTGTATTCTCTCTTCCTTCTGATTCTTTCTGGATTGTTCAAGATTTTGCCCATAGCACCTCTAAGTATTCCAACTTGAGGCTTGAATATGTTTTTCAAGTTCTTTCAGCTTGAAAAATGCCAAGCAAGTTCTTCCCTTTTTATTCTCCAAGTCTAGATCTCTGCACATTCCATTAGAATACTTTGCTTTGTCATCCCAAGCTGCCCTATGACATCTTCTGTTCAGCTCTTTTACTTCAAAATGTCTTCGTTTCTATCATCTGATCCATGCTAAGGCATTTTCAATCATTTTATTAGCACGTGAGAGCTGAGTGATAAAGAAGACTGAAGAATTTGTTTTGGTGTTGAATCATGATGTCGGTGAAGAATACTGGAATTCACTGTGGGCTGACAGAATTAAAAACAAAACTGCCTTGGAAGAAATTCAACTACACTGCTCCTTTTAGGAAAGGACGGTGAGACCTCATCTCATGTATTTTGGACACATTATCCAGAGAGGCCATGTGTTTTAAAGTACAAGGTCAGGAGAAAAAAAGGTAAGCCCTCAGTGAAATGGACTGGAACAGTGGCCACACAATGAACTCAAACACATCAGTGATTGTGAAGAAACTGAGGAGCTGGGCAGTGTTCACCTCATCAAACACAGGGGCATTAGCAGTGGGAACAGACTCCACAACACCCAATTTCAAAAAGACAAAAATCAAGCCTCGAACAATATGGGAAAAATACTGAATGATGCAGGGAAAATTAAAAAAAAAGATGCTGAATCAAATGATCTATCCATTTCCAACTTTATAAGAAAACACCAGACTGCTCTCCATAGTGGCTGCACCACTTTACATTCCCACCAACAGTACATGAGAGTTCCAACCTCGGCACTCCCTCATCAACATTTGTTGTCATCTAATTGAACACTGCTAGTTTTGCAAGGGTGCAGTAATATCTTATTGTTCTTATCTGCATCTCTATAATAGCCTAATAAGGTAAAAACCTCTTATCTCCCAGCCATACTGGGAAGTTGTTGTTACATACTATCGAGTTACTTGTGACTCATAGCAACCCTATGTACAACAGCTCTGAACACTGCCCTATCCTGAGCCAATTTCATTGTCTCTGACACATCTACTAACTCCCATTACCCCAGTCACTGAACCAATTCATCTCATCCTTGGTATTCCTTTCCTACACTGTCCCTCCACCCTTCTAAGTATGATGTCCCTCTCCAAGGACCAGTCCTTCTTGGCCACATGCCCAAAGTATGTCAGAGCTTCAAAAGCCTTTCCTCCAATAAGCAGCATGGTTTCACCCTCTCCAGGAAAAACCTGTTTGTTTTTCTAATATTCTTCTCCAGCACCACAGCTCAAAGGCATCAATTCTTCTTCTATCCTCCTTAGCCATTTTCCAGGTTTCTGATGCCCAGCAAATAAATGAGACGACTATGGCCTGAACTGGGTGCACCTTAGTCTCTAGCCTGACAACATTGCTCTTCAGTACTCTGGAGAGTTTCCTGACAGCAGTCAGTGGTTACCCAATGTTTTAGATTTTTATTGTTACAGTGATCTTTAAAAAAAAATAATAATAATCTGGTGGTCTAAAGCACAGTAAATGCATTATCTTAAGAGTTCTAGTGGTTCCAAAATGAATTAGGCTGAGTGAGATCCGTTGCACTTTGTCACTATGAGTCAAGAGTTGTTTAGAGTGCACTTAATAAAACTAAGGACCCCTGCTGGCATAGTGGCTGAAGCATCTGGCTGCTAACCAGAAGTCTGGTAGTTCAAATGCACCAGGCACTCCACCAAATACAGATGAGGCAGTTGATTTTGATAAGGATGTGCATCCTTGGAAAACCATTTAAGGGAAGTTCTACTCTTGTCTACAGAGATGCCATGCATCAGAATAAACTCTCCAGCAGTGGGCCTTTGTTTGGGCTATAATTATTAAGGGTGAATTCTGGAAGTGCTAAGGGAGAATCTATTTTACTTATCCCTTCCAGTCTTTCAAGGTTTCCAGCATTTCTTGGCTCCTTTCCATGTCTTCAAAGTCAAAAGTGTCACATCTTTAAATGTCTCTCCCAACTCTTCTGCCTCCTTCTTCCACATTTAAAGACCTTTGAGTCCACCAAGGTCAACTGTGTTACCTCCCATTTTAAAGTGAACCCTTAAAATCCAATCATTTCATTCCATTTTGGTATGTGACATACTCTCACCTTCTAGGGGTGAGATGGACATCTTTGAGATTTTATTTTGCCTAAAATATCCTGTGACACAATTCTGACCTAACAGATGTATGCTGAAAAATATAGGTGGAAAATTTCCTAGAAACATGTATTTTTATAATTAATTGAGCTTACAACGAGACAGGGTGCTCCAGTGTCCTAGTAGTTAAGGAGCTGCACTGCCAAACCAAAAGCATGCTGCTCGAATCCAGCCACTGCTCCACTGTAGATGGGCAATCTCCTCCTGTGTGATTTACAACCTCTAAAACCGGCTATAGCAATGGGTTTACAATGTAGCACTTGCCATACATAATTCAATAAAGTTTGTTGTTGTTTTAAAATACCCACCTGGAAATCTTTGTACTTCACCCTTGATTTATCTACCAGGTCCTCTCTGGGATTCAGTGGAGATGCAGCAGCTATTATGTGACTATGGACACAGGAACCATATATTGAGGGTAGTAGGCAAAACAGTTAAAGGCAGGGTGACTGACGATGTTAGTGAACTGCTGTACTAGCCCCTGATGCTCAAGCCCCAAACCCAAGATGGATGGACGAATAAGCCTTTAATGTTTTTAGGCTACTGTTGCAGTTGAACTGGCAGCTGATGAGATCCCTAAATAGTGTTTATGATGGCTCTTACAATATTTGCTGACATGTCTCATGAATACAAGAGCTACACAGGGATCAAAATGAATTGTTTCCTGTGTGCTTTTAAATAATATTGTTTTCATTTTATCCTTTGACAACTCCTGCATATGAAGAAATGTCTTAACAACTCAGAGGAGAATCACTTAGATGGAAAACTCATACACATTTCATTGGAGGATCAGATGGAAGAAAATCATACACATTTCAAAGGAAGATCAGATGGAAGAACCTAGAGGGCTTTTTTCTGCTCCTAGTGGTAAGAAATTGTGCTGCAATCACAAAGGCATAAGGTTCAAGACCACCAGCTGCTACACAGGAGGAGGACTCTCCTCCTGTCCAATTAAGTCTCTGAAACTCACTGGAAGGTCAGCTGTGAGTGGGTTCTGACCCAAAGGCACACAGCAACAATGTGCTATGAAGTTAAAGAGCTCTAATTAAAGGAAGTGGGAAGAAATTTTTGTAACGTGACTTCACGCCTTCTCTGCCAGAAATGCTGGAGTCTGCAGAGCTCCATCGCTCCTCACCCCTCAGTCAGGAGTCATGGATTTCTGATAGAAACGCTTAGCTGTGCTTAGACAGGGCTCAGTGATGGAGACGCCTGCTGAGTTAAACACAGGGGGCAGGTGGAGGACACGTGGGAGAAGCGGTGTGTTCGTGGCATGTTCCCACGCCGGGGTGGACATGATGGCTTTAAGGTGTACGAGAACAAGACAAGGGGCAAGAAATTTGTGGGCCGACACCCCTAGGATGTCCATGTAGGGGCTGACCCTCATCTCTTACATGGGATTCACAAGAACCAGTCTATGAGGTTGCTGGGAAGATGTTTAAGGCAAAGGGAGCACTGTGCCTTCACGAGAGACCACTTCCTACTGTCGCCCTCCCAGGAACGCTCCATGGGGAGGCAGCGGGGACTTCCCGCATTTGTGACTCGTGACAACACAGGAACAGATATAGCAGAGGAGCAAGCAGTGGTCGTAGAAGGTCTGAGATGATGGAGATACTGAAGCGGAGTCTGGGAGAATGGATGTGGTTTCCACTGATGGGAGGTGGGGGCAGGGAATGCCAAGGGACACCAGTCAGTTCTGAGGTCATTCAGACCAGCAGAGGGCACCGCCACAGGCAATGAAGGGCTGGTCTCAGAGGCTACAAAAGCCCCGGGAGAATGTGGACAGGACACCACAAGATGTAAATGGGGAGAAAAGAGGTGGGTGGTGGGCAAACTACACACTTGGAGGTGGGGTGGGGGACGGCCGAGGGGTGTTTCAGAACACTGGGTCCATGAGAAGGGGACTGAGTCAGTGGCTAGGCATGGGGAGAGGAATTAGGGCGTCTGGTGGGTCAGTGGGTACAAGAATGCCAGGATACTGCAAGAGAAAAAAATTAGATGGTGAGGGCAGAGAAATGAAAAACGGTACATCCCTGCCAAGTGCTCACACAGGAGATGGGATGAGGAGGAAGCGGAGGTGGTGGGGAGAGTGGAACAAGCCGCTGCCAATGTTGAGTCTCCATGTGCAGAACTTACATGGAGAACCCTTACAGCTGGAAGGACACAGCCACGCACCCAGCAGATGCCAGGATCCTGCAGGTCCCAAGGTCATTCTCCCCTCCTCGGAAGTCTTGCCACAAGCCTCCAGTCACCTTCACTGTCCCTCCCTCTGATCACCACTGCTGACCTGACATTTGGACTGTTGCTCCATTTCTAATTGCTGTCGTGTTTATCATCTTGACGTCCCCATCCATGCAGCCAGGTCACAGGACTCAAGGCGCACCTCTCCGTCTTTCCGAGAACAGGCTAGACTAACGAGATGGTCCGAGCAACAGTCCTCACAAGGAAGATTTCAACTTCTGACGCTCTGACCTCCAGTTAAGAACAAAAACAACTCACTGCTCAAAGAGGAAGAACTGTCTCATAGCTGACCCTCCAGAAGAGTTTCAGGGGCTGTAAACTACATGGGAAGAAAATGCTAAATCTTTCTCCCACCAAGAAACTTGTGTATTCAAACCAACCCCCCCACTTTGGGTTGGCAGCACAGCTCCCTATCCACCAGGCCAATAGAACTCCCTCAGACCTCAAGTTAGGAGAGGTAATCAGAAGGGGAGGCCATTGGGATGCTGGAGGCCTAAAGGGAGGAGCTGTGACTCGGCCTAGGAGGTGGGTGTAGAAGTGGGAAATGGGGAAGGGTGAGAGGAAGGAGGAAGGAAAGAGACCAGCGAGGAGAGGGACAAGCCAGGCACAAGTCAGCAAAGGGCTAAACACGGCTGGGAAGGTGGGGCCTCAGTTTCCTCATCTGGAAGGTGATAGGGTGGATGCAGAGCTCTCAGGGCGAGATGGGAACCTGGAGTCTCAAGTCCATGCCACAGGGACAGGGCTGCCTGAGGACAGTGGCTGAGACAAGTGGCTGGGACTCAGGCTTGGAGAGGAGGGGGCATCACAGTCCTTCTGTTCCAGCTGCACAGGTCCTTAGGGGTTAAGGTGACAATGCCCATGAACCCTCTCCAGGACCCCAGCTCACTGTCAGGGCCTAACATCCAGGGCTCCCATCTCCAGCCCCTCACTCCAAAACTGCCACCTCTACCTCGAGCCAGCCCAATGTCCTCTCTAGACAGGAAAGTTGTTGCTGTGTACCATCGGTACTGACTCACAGCTGACCCTCCAGCAGGCTTTCAGAGGCAGATTATGCGCCTCAGCATCCTTCACTCCCATCCCCAAGGTTCAAGGATGAAGTACAAGGGAAGGTCACCCAGCCCAGCCTTCAAAGGCCAGGCAGGCTTCCTGGTGGTGGCAGCAGTGAATGAAGAAACACATCAACACATCGTTAACCATTCCACGTTTTCAATTGTCTTACTGGCGTAACACCTGTGGAATGAGGAGAGGGATTAGTGGACTGTGAGGAGAGACCCAATATTACCTGTTTGCCGGCCATGAGCATGCAGTCACCATCTCACTCCACCTGTTCAGGACTCAGTACTGCTTCACTTAAAAATTATCACAGCCCTTTAGATGAGCCTTTACTTCCTCCTTGATTACCACTGGCTCCTGTTCATATGGTACTTCCTGAAATGTTTCTGTGCCAATCAACTCTTTCTGATACAGTGATTATGTGTATTCCCTCTATTTTCTTTTGATGATTTCTGGGTCATTCAATATATTGGCCATAGCATCTTTCAATATTGACACAAGGCTTAAATTTTTTAGTTCAGCCTGAGAAATGCAGAGCGAGTTCTTCCCTTTTTATTCTCCAATTCCAGCTCTCTGCACATTCCATTTTAATACTTTGTTTTAGCCTTCTGAGCTGCCCTTTGAAATCTTTTGTTCAGCTCCTTCACTTTGACATGTTTTCCATTTTTGGCTTCTCAATGCTCCAGTGCAATTTTGTGTGTGTGTGTGTGTATGTGTGTGTGTGTGTGTACCGTCAAATAGGATCTGACTGGTACAGGAGATTGTCCCTCCTTCTCCAGCAGAGCATCTGGTGGATTCAAACTGTACTTTTGGGATTTCAGTGCAGCTTCTTGCCACTAGGCCACCAGAGCTCCCTTCAGTGCAATCTTTAGAGTCTCTTCTGATATTCATTTCAATTTTTTCTTTCTCCTCTGTTTTTATAATGCCCTTTTGCTTTCTTCATAGATACCCTTGATATCATCCCACAACTCATCTGGACTTCAATCACTGGTGTTCAATAAACCTTAATATGATCTTGAAATTCAGATGGATTGATTCAAGATCCTATCTTGGTTCCTGTGGACTTATTTTCGTTTCCTTCAGCCTCAATTTGAACTTGCATATGAGTAATTGATGATATGACCATAGTGCATCCCTGGCCTAGTTTTGACTGATATTGAGCTTCTCTAAGAATGATTTCTTCCACAAATGTAGTCAACCTGATTCCTATGCAGCCCATCAGGTTAGATTCATGTGTAAAGTTATCGTGTCTTTTTTAAAAAAGGTATGGTTGCGGGGGGGATTGTATACCAATGAAAGAATTTTTCTTTTACTTTTCAAAGAGAGGAGTGAACTGGAGGGGGAGGTCTGGGAAGGGAGAAAAGTGCAACAATGAATGAATGGAAATCCAAAATCTCTGTAAATGTTCATTAAAATTAATAAATAAAAAAAAGGTATGCTGACATCAGCTAGATCCTGGCTGAAAGTAAGGAGTATTAGAAGAATGTCTATGTGTGCTTTATTGACAATCCAAAGGCATTTGACTGTGTGGATCATAACAAGTTGTGGCTGACATTGAAAAGAATGGGAATCCCAGAGCACTTGATTGTGCTCATGTAGAACCTACACCTGGAGCAGGAGGCTGTTGTGCAGAGAAGGGAAACACTGCATGGTTTAAAATTGAGAAGGGAGTGCGTCAGGGTTGTATTCTCTCTCTGTATCATCTATTCAATCTGTATGCTAAGAAAATTATCTGAGAAGCCAGACTCTAAGAAGAGGGGTGTGGCATCAAAATTGGAGGGAGACTCATCAATAACCTGTGTTATGCAGATGATACAATCTTGCTTGTTGAAAGTGAGGACTTGAAGCACTTGTTGTAGAAAACCAAGGAATGCAACCTTCAGTAAGGACTGCATCTCAATGTCAAGAAAACAAAGATTCTTACCACTGTACCAATAAGCAGCATCTTGATGGATGGAGATTGAAACTATCAACAGCTTCATCTTGCTTGGATCCACAATTGGTACCCATTGTCAAGAAATAAGGAGACACATTGCACTTGGAAAATCTGCAGTTAGGGACCTCTCCAAATTATCGAGGCGTAATGATGTCAGTTTGAGGACTAAGGTTTATCTCATTCAGGCCATAATCTGATTACTTACTATGCATCTGAGAGCTGGACAATAAATAAAGAGGACAGAAAAAGAACTGACACCTTTGAGTTGTGGTGCTGGAGAAGAGCATTGAACATCCCATGGACGGCCAAGAGAACAAACAGGTATGTCTCGCAGAGGGTGCAGCCGGAATGCTCTTTGGAGGCAAGAATGATGAGGCTTCACCTCACATACTTTGGGCATGTTGCTAGCAGGTTCCTTGGAGATGAACATGATGTTGGGAAGGATGGAGGAGGGTTCGTGAAGGAGAGGAAGACCCTCAAACACGTGGATTGACATGGTGACTGCTGCAATGGGCTCTTGTATGTCAGGAAGCATGGGGAAGGTGCGGGATAGAACAAGGATCAGACCTTTTTGTTCATAGGGTCATCATGAGTCATACTTGACTTAAAAGCATCTAACAACAACAACAACAACTTTAGATGACACAGTTGTGTAAAGTACACAAAATTCAAGAAAGCCATAACCTAACCTGAGTGTGTTCAGCTGCTGCAGACAAAGTCAAGTCTCAGAGAACATGAAGGCTCTGGAAGCAGACAGTGGAGGGCTGTAGACCTGCCTTCCTGGTCTCTCTCCTTAGGTCCTGGCCATCAGGCGTCCCTTCCATGGCACTGGGCTCCTTCCCATGCCCCTGGTCACCAGGCCACCCTGTTCTGAGCTGAGATCACATGGCAGGGAGGGTTCTCTGTAGCCTCTTTACCCAGCTGTAGCACTGCCCTTCAGGAGCTAACAACATTTGCCCACAAGGACTAAATCAGACCGGCATCCTGCTCCTATGACACTTTGGGTAGAAAGGCTCATTCTCCTCTTCCCTCTACAGCCCCCTTGGCTCTGGTTTTCATCTCTTAAACTGTTCATAAAAACAGCAGGCACAGGTGATGGTGGTAGAAAACCCAGAACACTAGATATCCCCATCATGGCAGAGAACGTCTACGCTCCTTGGGCTCTGACTGGACACAAAATACAAAGCTGTGAATTCAATTAGCCAGCCTAATTCAATTAGCCATGTTAGTGGAGCAGGAGGACGAGGTCAGTCACCCCCAGTGTCAGCCTGGACTCCCACTTTGGCAACACCAACATCATTACTTACTGTGAGCCAACTGTATACACGATGCTGGGTCACCGGTCAGGACTTCAAGGAAGGATGATGGTCTGAGAAAGATATCAACTTGCGGATCACAAAGACCGAGGAGTGAGCAGAAACAGCATGTTGGAATGGCACAAGGGGGCCTACCCAAAGCTGCAGAACTGCATTCATGCATCAATTTATTCACATTCATGCATTCATTCTTTTGTTCTAGGAACAGAAACATGAGCATGAATTATGGCTTCCATGGGGCACACACTCATCTACCCACTGTTTCTGCAAGAAAATGGACTTTCATGGCCCCTGTCTGGGCAGGTGAGCAGAACTCTGATAGCAGAGGTGGGTAAAATCCTAGGACCCAGAGAAGAGGATCATCTGTGCATCCACAGACACTGATCCAGCCTCAGCATGCACCACACCCTCTGCTCCCCCAGCACCAGTTCAGCCTCTCAGCCTTCAGATATGCATTTATACATCTGGTGAAACACCCTGGACGTCCAGAGCCTGAGCCATACAGGAGAGCTGTTCACATAAAATCTTTGCAGAAGTGTTCATATCATCTTTATTCAAAACAACTGGAAACCCAAATGTTCTCCAAATGGTGAATACATAAAAGAAGGTATGTCTATATAACAGAATACAGCACAGCAATAAAATGGACAAGGATAACTCTCTAATGCATTTCACTAAATGAAAGGAGAATCAAAAAACTACCCAGTGCATGGTGTGGACAGGGGCAGTGGAAGGGGATAGCATAAGGGAGTTTTTGGAGGGAAGAGTGGTACTATTCTAAACTTTCATGGTGTGAATGATAATAAGATTCAATGGAGTTATTAACTCACATTCCAATAAAAAATTTCATAAACTAGAGAAATGCAAAATTAATAGAGAGATAACTCATAATCTCACCTTTAGGGAGAATCAGTATTAATGTCCTTGGATGGACTATCTCCACAGGCTGATCTGTCATATATAAATGTTTACAACAGCCTTTAACACATAAATACTATTTTCACACAAAATTATTATTTCCTCTCCTGTGGTCTCAACTTTCCTGAAAAAAAAACAAAAACTAATGTGTAATCAGGTATTTTTACCCAATAACTCCCTTCCTGGTCAACATTGATCCTGACCACTATATACCAATACAATCATGCTGAGTTATTTCCATAAGATGATTCCACAAGGGAATTATTAGGTCAAGAAATAAGCTAAATTGAAGGCTGGGTTTCCATCATTCTCACGGATTATTGAATTGAGTCCCTCCCCAAATGTTCCCTTGCTTAAGTCATGATTCTCAGTGTGACACCTGTAATGTCTGTTATGTAATGACACCCCCTGATCTGATGGATAAGCCAATCAGGTGTGAGAATTAAGAGTGGGATGCAACATCCTTAACCTCATCAAAGCTCTGATAAGTGGAGTTTCCCTTAAGGGAAACCATACCATAAGGGTATGGCCTTATAACACTTTTATCAAAGATAAAAGGATAAAGAATGGAGTAAAGAGATAGAATCCTCAGTGCCAAGAAAGATGAGCCGGGGGTGGAGAGCAACTTTTGGGAACCTCAAGAAATGAGACAAGGACCTTTTTCCTGAACTGTTGACTAACAGAAAATCTTCCCGAGAGAAAGCCCCCTGAATTAGGATTTCAAGCCTCTATAGATGGTAAGGGTAAATTTGTTTATTAAAACCATCTACTTGTGGCACCTGTTACAGCAGCACCACATAACTCAATTATCTTCTATGTTCATAAGATCAATCCACAATATACCGTAAATATTTCCTAGGATTTGGAGCTGTTTCTAGGTACCTAACATTTAAAAGATGTAGCTTTACTAACGTCTCATGTGCTCAACTGGGATTATCAGAAAAATCTTTATGTATGAATTTTAATCTTTTTCAAAGTGAAGGGATAAAAACAAAAAAGTATCACATTCCTCACACATGATTTCTCTGCCATGTATCTTCTCACAGGTTTGCAAAGAGCTATGAGATAAAAGCTATGTGGCACTACTCAGCTATATATTCCCACCTAATATAATACTCAGACATACCTTTCTCCACTGTAAGCTCTACGTTCAAGGCTGACCAGCATCTGAAGACTTCTGCATACTGTCCACCTTCACAAGGAAACTCTAATGTTAGTGTATTTACTGAGGGAGAAATAAGTGGATTCTTCCATATTCCTTGTGTTCACAAGGTTACTTTCCACTACACCTTCTTTTGTGCTCTGTGAGGTTTAGAGGACAGCTTTCCCATAGTCCCCACATATATATGGTCTCTCACCACTGGGATGTCCAGAAAGGACTGAAGAAAGGCTTTCTCAAACTTGAGTTCTAAGCTCTTTCCATTGTAAAAGGAGCCCTGGTGGCAGAGTGGTTAAGTATTGAACTACGAGCCAAAAGGTTGGTCAGTGGTTTGAACCTACCAGCCACCTCACAGGAGAAAGATGATGCCTTCTCCTCCCAGGAAGACTTACGAGCCTCAGAAACCCCATGGGGCAGTTCTACTCTGTCCAGTATGTAGCTATGGGTTGGAGTTAAGTCAACAGCAGTGGATTCCATCGTGGGCTCTTATATTTTCAGTGAGGTATTCAAAAACCTTGCCTATACTATGAGTTCTTATGTGACTAGTGAGGTGTGCTGACTGACTAAAGGCTTTCCCACATTCCCTACATTCATATGGCCTCTCTCCACTGTGAATTCGTATGTGTGTAGTCAGAGAAGAGGATCGACTAAATGCTTTCCCACATTCCTGACATACATATGGTTTCTCTCCAGTGTGAGTTCTTGAATGTATATACAGGCCTGAAGAAAACTTAAAGGTTTTTCCACATTCCTTACATTCATACGGCCTCTCTCCACTGTGGGTTCGTATATGCTTGGTGAGGTTTGAGGAGCATTTAAAAGCTTTCCCACACTGCTTGCATACATAAGGCCTCTCTCCACTGTGAGTTCTTATATGCTTCGTCAGGTATGAAGAAAAACTAAACGCTTTGCCACATTCCTTACATTCATAAGGTCTCTCTCCACTATGTGTTCTTATGTGTTCATTGAGATATGAGGACTGACTAAAAGCTTTTCCACATTCCTTGCATATGTAAGGCTTCTTCCTTCTGTGAGTTCTCATATGTTTCACTAGGCGCGATGCACTAACAAAGGCTTTCCCACATTCCTGGCACTCATAAGGCCTTTCTCCATTCTGAGGTTTGATATGGGGAGTGAGAGATGAGGAATGACTAGAGGCGTGCACACATTCATCAGATACATAAGGCGTATTTTCACTAGGAAGGTTTTTTGACAAATCGAGGAATGAGGGGTGAGTACAAGTTTGCACACTCTGTTTACATTCACACTCAGAACTGCTAACGTCTGCCCTAGGGGAAGAGAAACTACAGAAATCTTCCTCACATTCATGACATTCATCAGGTTTCTCTCCAGGAACGCTGGTCACGTAGTTCTTCAGGGTCGAAATACAAATGAAGCCTTTCCCACAGACCTTACATTTATATGGTTTCCTTTCATTATCAGTTCTCATATGAGAGCCAAGGTAAGAAGTGCAAGTACAAGCTTCTCCACATTCTTGACAGGTATTACAACCACCAGGAGACGTGGTTTGTTTAGCTGAGGGCTGATCAATGAGGTACTTTCCGCACTCAAGGCATCCAGAAGGATTCACTTCAGTTGGACTTCTTTTGAGTATAGTAAGATCAGTTATCGGGCTGAAGGTTTTCCCACACTGATTGCCTTCGTCACTTTCATGGGGGTTTTCTACTACATGTCGTCTTTTAAAAGTAGAAAACATGCTGTTGGAAATAAATTTTATACCATGTCACCACTGCCAAACAGTGACTGTGGGGTTTTATTTTCCTTTACGTTCCTCATGTTTCAAAGGTTCAATCATTTAGCAAAGATGCTACAACAGATGTCACAATGTTTCTCAAATAATGGGCTCTCTGACAGATATCAATCAACAATATATATATATATATGAAATTACTATACTATTAAAATTCTCAGAATAATTTTATAATTTTAGGTACACATATACAAGTGTACCTACAGATTTAAACACACTCTGTAGTGTATTCTATAGTTCTCTTAAGACACTGCTCCCTATCATCTGACTGACACTTACCTGACTTGTATCCCTTGGTTTTTATGCTGAAATTCAATGACATGCAATTCACAGCTTTCTCCTAATATGGAAGCCCAATTGTTATTCTTCAGTAATTGTCCAATTATATGATCACTGGGCATATTTTCTCCATTATTAAGGTTTCCAGAAACTGATTGAATGATTCAAGTTGAAGTTCACAAAATGACAGGAGGGAGGGAAAAAAAAGAGGGAAAGGTATTACTATGAGGAAAAATGCACCTAGGAGCAAAGGAAAGTAGTTGGCTGTTTCAAGGTTTTGGAATATTTCCATGAAAATGGAGAGTGTCAATGTTCTAACAGTTTAGTTGGCAAAATTAAGTGGAAAAATACTGGACACAAGCAACACTGAAGTCCAGAAAAGTCCTTTAAAGAATTTAGAAACTCCACTCTCCTCAACTACAAAGAATCCTTCCTAACTATTTAACAGAAATATTCCTTTCTCTATGCAGTACTGTCTCCTTAAAAATCTTTCCTGCCCTCCAGATGCTCACAGATACAGTAGCTCTGGATGAAAAAAATTTCAGTCTCTCCAGATCTTTCTTTTGGTTCTCATGCAAACAGCTGGGATGGTACTAATGGTGAAAGGTGTATCATGAGGTAAGGTAGTGAAGAGCAGTGAGTATTTCCCTGACTCTAAGCCAACACTGTGCCTTCAGAGTCTCTAGGAAGGGGAAGATATGAGTTTATTTGCAGCAAAAGAATAATTGGTAACAGAGTCAGTAAAACTCTCTACAACTCATCAAATTACAAATGCCCCAATGTGACCCCTGAAGCCAGTGATCATATTTCCAGCACTTAAAGGGGCTCAGACTTCAAAACACAAGAGTTTAAAACACTCTATTACATAAAAGGAGCTTTGTTGGCATAGTATGTCCAGTGTTGGACTGTTAACTGAAAGTGTGGCTGCTCAGAACACATGCTCACTCCTCTATGAGAGAAAGATGAAGCAGTCAGTCTCCTGCAGTTAAGATTTACAGCCTCTGACACCCAGTGGCGGTTGCCATGAGTAAAAATCAACTCAACATCAAACAACAAACAACCCACTGCCATTGAGTTGGGACCAACTCGACCTGGACCCTATAGCAGGTCTCCAAGGCTATAAATCGAAAGGGAAGAGACCGCTCATCTTTCTCCCATGGAGCTGCTGTTGGAGTCAAACTGCTGGAGAGGTGAGGCCTTTGGGTTAGCAGTGCTTGACAGATACGACACTATGGTCACCTGGAAGACAGGGTATGCAAGACCCACAGAGCAAGGAAACAATTCCTGCCTTATTTAACAAATACTCTTTCTTTTGCTTTAAAAATTAATGCAAGGGCAGTAAGTATGAGGCATTTGCTCATTATACGATGTCATTCTCACCAACTGAGGCCAGGTTTATGAAGGTTTCCATCATCACATCTCTGTAGAGTTTCCTCTGTGCAGGGTCCAGCAAAGCCCACTCTTCTTGGGTAAAGTCCATGGTAACATCTTCAGCAAGCACTGATTCCTAAAATAGTCCATATATTCATCATCAGCAAGGTACCATGTACCACAATGTGTACAAAATGATGGGTGAAAATGATAGTCATGATGAATTAAGAATTCAAAGTTTTGACATAAGGGTCTGTGGTATAAAAATGTCTCCTGTAGATTCAGTCATCAGCATCTATTCTTAACCTGGCTATCTCCAATTCCTAAAAAACTGCTTTCATCCTCATAGATTTAATAAGAAGACTTCCAACACAATTAATTTTTCTCTCTAGTTTGTATGTAACTAATTCCAGTCTTACTCTATCTTGATGGTATAAACAGAAAACATGACAAGAATTATAGAAATGCTCTAACATATGAACAATTTAAGAGGAATGAAGTCACATTCATCATCAAAAAGAAAATGGTAAGATCTATAGTAAAGTACAATGCTGTCAATGATTCAATAATAACCATACACAAGCAAGGATGACCTTTTAATATGACTTTTATTCAATCTTAAGTGCCAAGCACAAAGGCTAAAGGTGAAAAATTAACAATTTCTACCAACTTTTGCTGTCTGAAATTGAACAAACACACAATCAAGATGTATTGATAATCATGGGTGACTGGAATGCAAAAGTTGAAAACAAAGAATTGGTAAATTTCAAATGGAGTCTTGATGATAAAAATGTCCCATCTAGCATGATAGATATTATATGACCAATGAACGATTCAGTGCAAATACCTTTTCTTGTTAACACAAAGGGCAATTCACATGTGGGCCTTGCCACAGAGAACACGAAATGAATCAAACTGACTAGTGGAAAAAGGTGGTGGAGAAGACTCCCCATTTTTCTCCTGCAGAGCAGCTGGTGAATTCAAACTGCATACCTTTGCACCGGCAGCACAATTCCTTACCATTAAGCCATTAAAATGCATACAGACCTTACATGTACATGCAGTCAGATGTTACCTGAACAAATGTTATGTAATGCATACCTGTGTACCAATTAGTTTCTGTCTCTTCCAGAAGACAAGAAATAGAGGGAATATTTCCGAACTAATTTTACGAAGCCAGTATTACAGCTCAAATTTTAAAAACTGACAAGGACATGATAAGAAATTAAAAGTTACAGAGCATGAACATATATGCAAGACTCCTCAACAAAATATTAGGAAATCAAATGCAACAATACAAATCAAGAATGATACACACCATGACAAAAAATGGTATTTCATCCAGGAATACAAGGCTGGTTCAGTACTGATGCTGGAAAGGGTGGAGGGTTGGCAAAGGAGAGGAAGTCTCTTGACCAGGTGGACTGACACGGTGACTTCCACAATGGGCTTTAGTGTGTCAGGAAGTGTGAAGATTCCACAGGATAGGGTGGGGCTCAGATCTTGTTCATAGGGTCCCTGTGAGTCATTCTCAACTCAATGGCACCTAACAACAACGAAAACAATCACATCAATAGAGAAGCTAAAGAAAAATCATGTAAGAGAAACCGTAAGAACATTATCAACATAACAAAAAAAAGTGGCAAAAAACTAACAGTTATTCAGGATTACACACTCTTACAAAACAAGGAAAGGAACATCTTTAACTGGATAAAGAACGTCTACTACCACTTACAGCTATTGCCAAGAAACTAGACATTGCCCTGCTTACCAGTTTATGTCAGTGTGGAAGGCTCCCTGAAACCTGTCCACCATGGGTGACATAGATGGCATTTGAAATATCAGTGGTGGTTTCCAGCAAGATAAGTACATCAGAAAACAAAGGTGGTGTTGTTGTTGTTAAGTGCCGTCGAGTCACAGGGGAGTCATAGCGACCCTATGAAGGAGAGTCCTCGACGCTTGGGTGCCTTTCATCCTCTCTCCAGGTTCATAGGGTTTCCAGAGGCAAGCTATTATGCAAGTGGATG